AATTTAAATAAATAGGCGATATAGTGGGTGCTTGGGCTCAAGGTAATCGAGCACCGGATGAATTTATTATTGTTGGATTTGAACGAGCTGTTTATCCGGAACAAATTGATATATATGAAACATATAATCCTGGTGCTGTTATTCGAGTATCTGCACGTAATGGTATGTAGAAAATTCTTTGAAATCGGTAGTATCCGATTGAATATATATCTCTTGCCGAAGTTACACTCTTTGCCAAAGTTGTAACTTTGGCAAAAATTTTGTCGAAGTTGTTAACAACTTCGACAAAATTTTTGCCAAAGTTACAACTTTGGCAAAGAGTGTAACTTCGGCAAGAGATATATATTCAATCGGATACTACCGATTTCAAAGAATTTTCTACATACCATTACGTGCAGATACTCGAATAACAGCACCAGGATTATATGTTTCATATATATCAATTTGTTCCGGATAAACAGCTCGTTCAAATCCAACAATAATAAATTCATCCGGTGCTCGATTACCTTGAGCCCAAGCACCCACTATATCGCCTATTTATTTAAATTAAGAGAAAAGTTTTTTTTTTTCTAAAATATTTTTCTTCATTATTATACCATGTCGTGGATAGACTTTTGGTGGTCCAATGACTTGATTCGCAGACCATGTACTATCATTATATTGAGATGAAAATTGAAGAACACATGAAGCCCCTTCAATAGTGAGACAACTATTTAAAGAAATACAGCATAAATAAATTGTAAACTTACATTGTTCTTGTCGTTTCCATGCATGCGAGGTCGCTGTATTTGATTCAGTCATTGAATTAAAAAAATTTTATGAACAAAATATTAGTTAACTCGTGTTAAATGCAATAGTAGAATCGTTATGTTTGTATGTGTGACACGTTTACTATAAAAGCATGTAACTCAACTGTCAATAGAAAAAAACAAAGTGTAATCTTTTATCAGGTACCGAATTTTCTTTTTTTTTTGTCGTTCTGAAATTGTCGTCAATGTCCTGATTTAATTTTTCAACATAACTTTATTTTGTTATTGCACCATCATTAAATATGGTTTGCCGTTTTATTTATTTTTATTTTTCTTGTATTTATACATATATCTATATATGTAAGTTTCTCTCTATTTAAGATAACACTGAAAAAACAATAGACTATAAGCTCGACTAGTAACATATAGAGAAAATAGTAGTATTTGTTGATATCAAAGAATTAGATGTCACTCATTACCAGGCGCTAGATATTGAAGAAAATTTATGATTGCTAGATGATGCGAGCCGTTTAGAGAGGATGATGAAATGAAGACTAATGAATGAAATATTATTTTTATGATTATTGATATAAAAAGAATCTATTTCCTTTTATCACTTTCTAGATATTAAAATATGAGTAGTCAGGAAGAAAATAGTGCTGCTGCATGTTCGTCAACATCGAAGGTAAATTAAAATATTAATTCTAAAAAAATTTTTTTTTAAATATAATAAAGAAAATTCTATTTTTTTAAATCCATTTAGAAGCCTACTTCTGCTTCTTTGCAAAACGATCTTCTTTTATACTTGAATACACATGATGAATTAAATACATGGTCATATGCAAATGAACATAATATTGATCATCAACTTGTCATTGGTACTTTTCGTAGTATTCAATCGATAGGTGATGTAAGTGAAATTTATTGAAAATTATTCATCATTAGTTGTTGTGGAATAGATTATCAATATGGAACAACGTACATCACGATCAATAGCACCAACTGATGAAGGAAAAACCTTAATTGCAAATGGAAGTTATGAATACAATTTATTTCAAGCTGTTCCTTCTAATAAAGGCATTGAACAGTCCGAACTTATGGTAAGACCTCTTTTTTTTTCTTATGATTGTTATTTTAGTATGTAGATGTCGTAGGATAAATTAAAATCCAGTTCAGTTTTAAATCGAACTAGGATAGATTGAAATTTTAATTATTCCTA